GCAGCAGCCACGACAAACGAAGGATTTGCAGGAACAATCGAAGGATTTGCAGGAAGAATCGAAGGATTTTCAGCAAGAATGGAGGGCGTTGGTGCAGCAACAACAAYGGAGGGCGTTGGTGCAGCGACAGCAACCGAGGGCTTTGCAGCAAGAATGGAGGGCGTTGGTGCAGCGGGCGTTGCAGCAACTGGATTCTTGTTCGTCGCACCAGCCGAAGGACGACGAGGAGCCTTCTTTTTCTTGTATGGATTCCTGGTCACCAGCTTCCCACCACCTGCAGCGGCTTTGGACCTAGTCTGGGGCGCTGTATCCTTGCCACCACCAGACAAGAAAGAAGAAGAAGAACGGGTACAGCGACTGCTGCGTCGTGGAGGAATCGTTCGAACCATGTTGTTGACAAGAGCTGCATCAAATAAAAAAGAAGGAACAACATCAATAACAAAACAAGGAGTGAGGATCACGATTTGTGCTCATCAGAGTACTACGCGCACGAGACTTACTTTGAAAAGAAGCTGCTGTTGTTGTTGTTGTTGTTGTTGTTGTTGTTGTTGTTGCCATGGTCGGACACCGTCGTTGCAACAGTCGTCGTTGTCGTTGTTCGTAAGAAAGTTAGTAAAACGCATCGAAAACACATCRAAAACAGAAATTTTCAAGGTCGCAGCAAACAAGGGGCACTTACAGCAATGCGTTGTTGTAAACAAGAAGATAAACAAATGGAAACAGAGGCCTATTCCCATGGTCTAGTTCAAAAGAAGCGGATCAAATCGTTGCTTTTTCTAAACTATGATTAGATCAGTGAGTGAGTGAGTGAGTGAGTGAAAACAACGATTGCGTAGGATGCAGTACAAAATCAACGTACACCAGTACAACGTGGTAAAAATGTGAATGGAATCCCACGAGCTGTGAATGGAATTGGTCGTTACTAAGGAGTCACATACAGCTAACTACTGGAGGGACTAGCTATGTCCCACTATTAGCAATTAGCGACCAACTACTAGTTAGAGTGATACACGCGCATGCGCGAAAAGTGGTACTCCGGTACCACTAAAAAGTACTTTGGTACCATCTTGTACCAGCCCTACGTAAATCACGTAGGAATGCAGGTTTTTTGTTGTCCCCCGACGAAAAGCAACRAAACAGCAATGCCGATCGCTGGCAAGGGTCTCCTCCACTCTGCTCGACCGTGCAAGCATTGGATTACACAACTAACACCCCTATCCTCTTGTCCTCCTCCTCGRCAAGTGAAACTGCTGAATTTTGCTTTAGGAAGGGTCCTTTTCCTAAAGCAAAATTCAGCAGTTTCACTTGCCTCGGAGTCGGTTTTGGTTGCACGTGCTGTCCCTATCTAAAAAGAAAATCCTCGGCGCGCGCGCCTCGAATTTTCTTTTTAGATAGGGACAGCACGTGCAACCAAAATCAGAGGACGGGGTGTTACTTTTAGTACTGCTCCTACCCTTCATACTGTGAGCCCATATCTCAGTAAGCACCAAGTACTAGTAGTAGTAGTACTACTACTAGTACTAGATGTTGCAGATCAATAGAAATTATACTACAGAGGGCATTCTTAATGCTAGTAGAATTAACCTTCCAAATTTTAACTTAACCATTCCCAATGTCAGAATTAGTAATGTTTGGCATATTACTAGTACTACTAGTAGTACTACTACTAGTAGTAGTACAAGAACTACTACTACTGCTAGTAGTAGTAGTACTACTACTAATACTATGATGACTGTCGTTGGCCTACTACTAGTACTACTACTAGTACTACTACTAGCAGTGGTGCTAGTACGCACTACTAGTAGCTAGTACTAGTAGTACTACTAGACAATGGTGATCCTCCTCCTGCTCCTGGTGGTGCTGGTGGTAGTACTACTAGTACTACTACTCCTAGTAGTAGTAGTAGTAGTAATTGAGAACAAAATTTGCAGTCACATTTTTCATAGGCAACACAGAGCAGCATGACAAGAAGCTCTGTGGGCATGATTTTACTTCTGGTGATAAATACCACAGGACCCCCCAACGCCCCCATATGGTTAGAAACTCTTTAAAATGACTTTCAATTCATGTGCTTACTACCATACTTAAGCGTCTTTTGGGGACCAAGATATAGCTGTTCNTAGAATGCGTTAACCGTAAAAAACTTTACTGAACCCTAATTGGATAAAAGTAACTTTACTCCAGGCAGAAAAATTATTAGTAGTAAGATTGCAGTTAATTTTGAAGCCCAGTATTTAGTACTGATCCTATATAGATCTACTAGTATTCGGTCACTCTTTCAACCCCAAACAGCTCAATAAGCTAACCACAACAGCTCTGGAAATGCCTCTACTAGTAGTAGTACTACTAATAAGATCCCCTTTGGGGATATGCTCGGTCATAGTAGTGTTAAGAAGAGTGCTCCTGTGTGTCATTGTTACATGATTAGGAGAGCCCAGGGGGAAGACAGTTCTCCATTCACAGCCGTTATGGCAAAAATTGGCCAGTGGAGACTGACTGCTGGTTAGAAAATAGGCCAGAACTCTATCAAAAAACAACTTTAGACCCACCACACAACAGAGGACTAAGAAGAAGTGCCCAGACCAAGTTGATACAATTACTTAGAGATCCAGGTCATTGGGAAGCCAAAGGATGCTCTAGCAGCTTACTAGAACTAGTCAGCCAAAGTTATAGTAGTGSGTAGCCAAAAATCTTTAATTCTAGTAGTTGTAATTTTACTACTGGTGGTGATTAACTGGTAGTACTGTGCGTACAAGTTTAATCTGAGTAAAATGCATAATCATRCTACTAGGCCTGGGGGGAGACTGCAAAAATTACTGTGTGTAGAATTGATTTGAAAATGTGTTACTAGTAAAAGCAAATTGTTATGATCTTCCTTATTTGGTATCTATAGAAGTGTCAACATACCATTCATGTGGTATCTTGTCATAAAGGGAATGTTGAGAACTTTGGATTATTCCTATTCACTGTAGAGATCCTAGTAGTAGTTTATGCTCTACAGGGGGGGGGGGGTTCTTGTGCTTCTGTTTTTGTGGCATCCTATCATATCTTTAGTGTCAAAATGTGTCATGCAGTATTCTTGATACTCTATATTCTTGTACCTCWTGTATGTATTGTATTATGCAGCAGTATATATTACTATATCATTGTGTATACTAGTAGGATGTAGGTCTTTATCCTACTAGTATATATCATGAAGGTCCAGTCCCAAGGGATAATGACTGGCCTCCTGCTGGTACTGCTGTACTGTATGGTGCTCACCATTGCAGAGATGGCAGCACCTTAACAGCAAGAAATTCAGCAGGATACGGATATGCTGAAGAGAGACTGTAATTTTTGAAACTGCAACAAGCTTAGCCAGCTTTCTTTTGCTCAGGAACATTCACTCAGAATTTCAAAGTTGTTCAGTAGGACAGGATTTTCTTTGGTCTTTCTGTACACAAAATACACATTACTGGGAGTACTAATCTGTGACATATTTTTCAGAGAAACCTTCCTAACTTGTTGGCAATATTGATCAATTTGTTCAACTCAAATAAGAACAATGCCAAGCAATCTGTCATCAGCTGTCCAGTTCTAGAGCCATACACCCAATTTTGACTAAATAAATTTTCCAAATTGTTTCCCTTCTGCATGTATGTGCAGCACACAACAAGATTATATATTAAATGCGCAAGCTTTCACTGCTAATAGTRGCATCTATTTCATTGTTTGTTTTGTAATAGCCACATGGTAATCCATATGAAGGATCCCTACTTTTATCTACCATGCAGTAACATATTGCTGCTTTTCTTCATGATCATCAGCAATTTGGTTTTTCTTCATAATTGTTTTGCAAGAGGATATGGTAACTCACAACAAACCGTCTCATTCTCCGCTATCGTTCAAAAGTAATGGTGCACCAGTGAAGCTAAGTGTTGTATTGCAACAGACATTGCCCTACTGCAAGAAGCAGCACTACTAACACTTCTTTTACCAAAGCTGCGTTGTTGTTGACTAGTCAACGCTGGTGTTGAGRAAGACGAATGGTGTCTCAGATACTTTTTGACAAAGATAGGAATGTACAACGTAGTAGTATTTTGCAACAAATAACCAAGCAATTTCTGTGTCTTGGTACTTCCTTGTTAATCCTTTTGTTGGTTGAAATAAAAAGAAAATACAAAAAGGTTTCATCAGTTATGTTTCTCGGAACGAAACGGGTGCAAGAAACCGCCAGCCCGGCCGCAGACGAATCACATCCTGATCCTGAAATCTGTAGTCTCTCAAAAAGTCTTCGACTTTTGCTTCCTTGGCGGAGCGTTCAGAAACATTCTGGGCGACTTTCGCGTCGACTAACGCTTTCGTAACGAACCATGCCGAAGGAGAGGTCGGGCCGGGATTCGCAGTATGGTATCCTAACAGGTAGGCTATTGCACCAATCAGTCCCAGGGTGGAATGGGCTGTGGAATAGTTCATCGTTTTCGACAATTTCACCCAATTGTCTCGGAATTCCTCTAATTTTTTATTGACAATTTGTTCGGTAGCGATAACGCTTGACGACGACTCATAAAATTGATCATTTCTTCTTTCCCCAGGCAATGCAAGTGGTAGCAAGACAACCGAGCGAGATTCGGACATTTCCAACCTGGTCAACAACGGACGGGCGACGATACCTTCCGCAGCAGTGGCTTCCAACAGTAGTAAATTGGTTGGATCGTATCTATCACTTTCATGTTTCACATACCCCGGGACAACAATACCTAGAACAAACCAAAAAGAGACAACGCATGAGAGTCAGTCTTTGGTAGTTACCAATGCAATAACAAATTTAAGTCTGTGCGGCTTCCGTTGATTTGATACAAAGATGTACGATTTGAAACACATCTCGCAACATGAACGTACCACAATGGTCAAATTTTCCTTCCCCAATGGCTTTACTGTTGTCGGCAAAGCACAAAACAGTCCGTCCCAAGGCACAGACAAAAGCCGCCAAAGGACCAGCGGCACAATGCTCCCATCGTCGGTCAAACAAAAGGATATCTCCCGGCCTGCACCTCTCTATCATTAAATCATCGATTGTTTGGACGTTGGGAACACGGACACGCGTTCGGACGTCTTCGGCACGTTTGTTGCGCTGATCAATAGCCCATTTCCACCACACAAGTACAGGAAGGGAAGAAATGATAGCGCCGGCTCCCATTTTCTTCAGCACCTGCACTCTTTTAGGACTAAACATGCCTCGAAGCCGTTTCGGAAYATCAAAGGTCTTGTCGTTTTGCAACGGCGGTGTCATCGTTGTTATCTCCTTCCCTTATCATCCGGGGTCGGAACTAAATACCAAGCTGATTCTTTGAGTGTTGGAGGGCGCAAAGCAAAGGCAATGGTCCTGTACTGTAACTGGGAGCTGTTTGTGAAGATGCTGAAGTGTTCACAAATCACACATTTGTCGTTCGCTTAATGATGGAGGACGAAATGAAATCAGATTATTCGAACTTCGCAAGGCATTATTCTACCGGTACGTACTCGTACTTTCTACTTCATACTCGTACTTAGTACTTCGTACTTCATTAGTACCTGACTCACGATTACACGACTGACTCCAGTCACGTCAAAGTTTTAAGTGTTCGACGTCCTGAAGTACGTAGCCGTAGTACACTCCCTCAGTATGTACGTACCGTACGTATACGTTAGTACCATGTCTAATGTCTACTACAATATCTTTTTCGAGAAAAACCAACAGGAACCACTGAATACAGTAATGGTGCTCGTCCGTTGCCTACTACCGTAGGGACGTACSATACGGTGCTGTAGTCAGAAGTCAAGGAGTCTGAACATGATAAATAATTATGACCCTTGCTCTGGGCTACGGTACGATACAGTACGTAGTCCTCGTAGTACAGTAATCGTTCCCGCAATCGTACCGTACGTAGCACGTTACTAGACAATAATGTTTTCTTAGTAGAGTACGTCCCATTTTTCGCAGGAGCCGTTCCCTCTCTCGAAGGAGCTATGGAACGTACGGTACCGTACATACCGTAGGGTAATGGGTCATGCCACTAGATCTCAGAAACACAATTTGTTCGCAGTGCAACACCGTATCATCGTTTAGTTGGATGCGGTCTTTCGGTTTCCTWATCAAAAAAAGGTTGRAATTAAAGTACTGAACAACATCCTGACACTGTAGTTCTGGAACAGACTAACATTCTTTAAAAATCAAAATGGGAACAGTAGATATCAAAAAGATGAAAGGTATGAATTCCGAATACGACAGGACCGAGCCCCACGACCTCCTGGTACATTGTTCACTCTAACATGATTTTTTTCGTTTTTTTCATCGTGTTATTTCATTGACCAGTATCGGATCTCCGAGCGGAGCTCTCCAAACGTGGATTATCAACGGATGGACTGAAAGCTGAACTTGTAAATCGATTGCAAGTTCGCCTGGACGAAGAGGAGTTTGGCCTCGCCGAAGCTCCTTCCGCTACATCCTCCACACCTGCCACGGTAGCTGTGTCGTCCCCAGCGCCCGCTTCGGCTCCCGCGCCTGATCCCAGTCAAAAAGAATTGCCAGAAAAACAAAAGGTTCCTGCATCAGAGGAAAAGGCAGAAGAGGCCGCACTTGTCGCCACAGCAGTGGTGGAAGAAAAATCCAAGGATGCGGACAGTGGTAAAGAATCTTCGGCACGAGTTGAAACACCTGATGCCGCACCGGCGAAAGTGACTGAAACAAAAGGAATGACCTTTGAAGAAAAAAAGAAGGCACGGGCTGCTAGATTTGGGATCACGGCACCTATCACGAAAGATAGTGCGAGCAAACGCAACAAAAACTCACGTAAACGAGAAGGGGGGAATAAGGGAGACGGAAAGAATGCCAAACAGAAACTGACAGAGGGAGGTAAAGGCCGCGATCGGGGTGGAACCAACAAATCTCCGAGTAAGAAAAATCCCTTCGACTCTCTCTCTAAAGAAGAATTGGAGAAACGATTAGCGCGTGCGAAGAAGTACGGGGTTGTAAACGACACCGTTGATGCGATGAAGATTGCCATTCGGAAATTCCGTTTTGAGGGAAAATAATTCCTCTAATATTACGTCATGCAGTTTGTTTCTTTGTAGATCCTATCAAAAATAAATGGTTTTAATCACTCCATAGATTGACGAGGTCAATCATTTTCAGACCGTGCGATGTACGCCAGTAATTTAGTTCATAGAAACTTTTGAGTGGATGGACCGCCACTTACAATCCGAGTGGAAACACAAATCCTTGGAGGAGGGAAATATATATGCGTGTAAAATTTCAATTGTTGCGTTTATGGGAGACAATGCTTTGCTGGTTTCTATCCGGGGCTTTCAAAGTTGCGGAAGAAACGCGGAGTTTCCCCCTGTAACTCTATCCTCTTGTCCAGTCAAAGAGTATCACAAGTTTTTGTTTGCGTCTCGACTGAGGGTGAAAATATTATGCTTCTTCGAAAGATGTCCGCGTTCTCTACAAATAGAAGTTTGTGTTTTAGTAACCATGGTGGTTATGGATTGTTTTATAATAATGTACAGTTTGGTAACATGCTAAAAGTATCATGGTTCTTTTGTACCTTCCCAAAACCATTAAAGTATCACAGGACAATGTCTTCTTTCATGCCTATTAGTCCTTAACTCAAAGACCTCTATTGCTGTCATCGTAATACATCGTTTTGGTCCAAGAAAGGCCCAGCAGAGTGTGATGGTCTATGTGTACGGGCACTCACATTTGATTTTCATTTGTATTCGTAGGACACATATCGCGGTGCTGGAGGATAGTAGCCTCTACGATAATGTGCATGTGGAGGAGGCACAGGTACTCTGTAGTATCCTGGTGGTCCATGTATAATGTGAGGAGGTAGTGGCGGTATTTTCATTGGCGGTCCATAGTGGTAAGCCTCAAAGTGCCCAGTGGTCAAGCGTCTCGGTAGTGGGAGCCGAGCTCTTGGACCATGAGATTGTTCCTCGGAGTTGTTTCCATTAATTCCCGCGTGGGTAGATTTTTTTGATTCGTGCGAAATCGTTACTTCCCTCGGTGGCGAGATAGGTCGCTTTTTGTTCTCGTCCGCAGGTTTCTCGGTCGGACTTCTCGCACCTGACTTCAGAGATAGCATCGCTGCCACAGCAGCTTCTTCTTCTGATACCAGCGGCTTGTCTTCTCGTTTCTGGTCAGACAGAACTTGAACTAGCGCGTTCAAAGGCGGCGGTGTCCGACTCGGAGTGACTACTATTTTTGTCTTTTCCAAAGGCGACTCCGGTGGTGTAGACGTAGCCAACGATTTAWTATGTTGAGCTTCTTCCAGAGACTTCTGAGAGTCGAAAGAGACGCAATGGTAGATAGGCTCCGATGGAAACCTATGAATCTGTGGGCGGTGTGGTATTTCAGCCCTGACACCGGTCCATGCCTCAACTGATGATTCTGTTGAGCGTACAGGCTTGTACGTTGGGAAGCGTGGCTGCGGACGGCGACGAACACATTGCATTACCACTGGAGACCTAGGCGAATGTTGAGTATTTATATTGTTTGTCGCTGATCCCTGCCGATCGGTTTCCCCACGCTTCTTTTCGAGCATAGCTTGCCGTTTTCTTGCGCGGCACCGTTGTTGTCTCAAACGAGCAGCGGCACGCTTGCGTGCCAAGCGTTCAGCAGGTGTCAGCTTCGGTGAATCACTCTTTGTTCCCATTGTTGATGCTGTTTTCCCCGTTGCCTCGTTATGGACTGCTGTCTCTTTTACACTCAGAAAGAAGTGCTGATATTGACATTTGTAACCATGTGCACTCAACAATCCACCTTCTATCTTTCCGTGGAAACTAAGTCTTGTGACAGCAGTTGATCGGTGGTGTTAGTGGGCGCATACCCACATACCATCATTTAGGAGAGGAATTAAAGTTACTTAGAAAGCAAAATCGCTAAGTTTCCTATTGTTTGCGCGCCGGGGGATATTTCTTATCCAATGCTTTGCGTTTTGGTCGCGAATGTCGAAAGTACTATGTTTTCTGTGGTATTCAACGGTCACGCTTTTTYAATCGTTWAAGTGACCACGCATTGCGAAGATGCAAAAAAAATTGGGAGAGCGAGGTCATTATTCCTTAGTATTGCCCTCAACACAGTGTGACCGTTAGGTTCTCTTACTATCAACACTTTGAGCAAAATTGTCGAAGCTGTTGTCGACAACAAAAAGTGAGATAGTAATAATCACTTGAGGGTTACAAACCGGTATGCTGATGAGAAGAGGCTTCAGCGAATATCGCCATAATGAGAGATAATCTACTCATCGCATCAAATGTTGTGACGCGTGACGCTGCATGAACTATGAAGCAATATTTCTGCTCGAAAATACGTCCTGCAATTCGATCTACGACGGACACAGATACAACAAGAATTAATACAGAGGGACCCAAAGTCAGAATACGAGGAGAGAAAATGAACTACAATATTGGCCGCGTTGGATTTCTCCTTACCATCATAGGAGGATTTGTTCTTTTATGTACTGCGCTGACTGATTTTGAGCCAGGGTCTGCTTTGAATACTGAAGGAAAAGGAATCGTGTCAAAACAGCGTTCTTCGTCTCTCTCCCCTGGTAATCGGGTCGTTGCAGAAGATGAACCTTCTAGCGAAGAACTCCCGACCGTTGATCGACATGAACTGAAGCACGACACAAATACCGCACACCACTTACTGCGAATGACACTATCGCCAGCGGAGTCCATATCTTTGCCCATAGCAAGAGAAGAACTGAGGAGAAGGAGACTTCCAGGTGAATACCTGGATTTGAACAATCCAGCAGCAGGTGGCGTCGTTGTTTTGGTCATCATTCTCCTTCTTCTTTTGTGCTGTTGCCGAGGAGCACTTTGTGATTTACTTGCATGTGTTTGTCTGTATGAAATGTGTTGCGATGATGGTGCCATAGGGGGCTTCGACTTAATGCCACTGTAGCAMATTGCTTAACAAAAACATCTGAGAAGAAGATGCGTAACATTACCTGTAGATTTGACATGATATTCAAAAATAATAATTCCACACTGTTATCACTATGATGTAAAGTCTGTGACCAACGCTATGATACACTTTGCTACTTAGTATTGAACGCTTGGAGCCTCCACAGGAAGTAGAGGAACTATCATATGGGCACCTCCATCAGAAATAGGGTCTTAGTTTTGTAAACTGAGTTTTAGAAGAAACTTCCAGAATGAATTGAGAATGGATCAAGAATAGATGGAGAATAAATAGAAATAATTTGTGATTTACTACAAGTTTCATGACAATTGAAACTGGTCTTGCCCAATGTGCAAGAAGTTTTAATTTGAAGTTAAGAACTTCAAATTTCATAGTAGAAATTCTACCATGCTGTACTGAGCTAGTTTTTGAATGGGATCCATGATTGAAAGGTTGGGAATCATTTTTTTGTTTTGAGGGGAATCAATCCAGCCATTCAGCCATTAAAAAAAAAGGTCAGTAGAACCTGGTACATTATGGAGGAGCAAAAGTTCATAACTTCAAATCAAAGTTTCTTATAACTTYAAGTTAAAACTTCTTGGGCACTGGGCAAGACTGGTTTCAATTGTTATGAAACTTGTAGTAGTAATAGGGAATAAAATTCTCTCTCCCTCTATTCTCATTCTATTTGGAATAATTTTGAGGCTGTACAGATATCTTGTAGCACACCTTTATACACAGTACACTTGGTAGCACACAATTATTAATTTTTTTCTGTTTATTCCATAATAATTCCCAATCTCCTCCTGGCCAACTGAAAGAAAGTTTTGTCAACTGAGAATAGAATAAGAATAAATAAAAAATATACAGATAATGAATGAATGTACATTGCCAAATTGCAAACATGCATGTGCACAATGTTTGCTCTACTACTACTAGCTACTTCTTGCGGCTCCTGACATTGCAATGCAAAACCTGCTGTTCAGGAGCATACATGAAGGTAAAAAGGTCAACAAGAATTTAGAAAACCATGACATAAATTTCCAGCAAAAGTGCAATCCAGTTATGGAGATCTAAACAATTAACAATTACCAAATTCAATTCCTGCAAATGTATCAACAGTCATCAGCCTATTGGAAAAAATACATGGAGGAATTTATTGCGGAGTTCTTGAAATGACTGATGTATCTTGTTGGAAAATTTTGGGGAAAGGTTCGCATTACAAGTACTGAGCATATAAAAGGTAGAATCAGAAAAAAGTTGGTAGGGTTAGCATCCCTTATTTTGATCCTCTTTCAATCATGTAATGACTGCTTCGACTAAGCATTTTGCACATGTTTCAAGCCAAAATTGCTGTCCATTGAGCATGTGTACTATGCAAAACCTACTACTGCATTTAACTCATGGAATTAAAAGTTCAGGACATTCAAATGTACCACTACTGCTAGTAGTACTATGTATTGTTTTTTAGTCAGAGTAGTTACTACATCACCATGCAAAAATAAAGACCCAAAACCTCCTACTATGTTGCAGATTTGCACACTCAATATGATAAATTCAAGAACACAAGCATCTCCTTTGAACAAGAATGGCAATATATGCATGATCCCAATATCACACAATTTTTAATGTTCAAACTTAACTCCTGGAGGTGTATAAAACCTCACATTTAAAGATTATTTCATTGCCAAAGAGTGAAAGTATTGAAAAACCAACTACTAGCAACCAAAAACCTTGAGGAAGTAAAAATAAATTCTGAAGAAGATACAACAAGAATGACATATTCTTGACTTAACCAAGCAATTTGATTTGGAGGGAAAGGCTTATAATGGGAAAGATACTAGTAAGTCCCCCTTCAGTATGAACACTGAAAGAATTATTGTAGTTGAAGCAACAGAGAAGGGCAGGTTTTAGTCTGTAGTTTCTGAAAGTCATCTTGATACTTCTTAACTGGTGAAGAARCTGATGAGAGGTGAAGAAATATCAATCAGTGTACAAAGATTAAAAAACTTGCAGTATCAAATACTTTCCTGACAACTGAGCAGAGCAAAAGAATAAAGATGAAAACAGTGCAAAGAATGGACCAATTCCRACAAATGATGCTGGGATCAAGAAAATTGTGGAGGATTCTCCCATCTCTGGCAGGAGCAAACATTCCTTCTCGATGAGCTGTATCACAGAAATTTATGTAATATCAGACAGATTGTACTTGGGTGGAGAAATAGATTTTCTAGTTTTTAGATATGTATTCCCAAATTCTGGCCATGTAGAACTACTAGTAGTATTAGCTAGTGGGGGACAAGTGAGTTCCATATATCAACAACAATCCAACACTCCTAGCTAGTACTAGATAGATCCACCAAGCTGGAATATTGTTGAAAGAAAGCACTTTCACTTCAAGACACTAGTAGTACTAGTGCCAATACATCACAGCAAAAGWTATATTGATTTCTTTGGGGTGGTACCAAAAGGGGTTGGACCCAACAGAGAAATACTTGATATATGTATAGTTTATAATGGAACAAGCTGTAGTCTCAATGAAGAAGCTGGGCCCCAAACTTCTGGCTCCCAACACCAAACACAGCTATCAGGCAAGATTCCTGCAACTGAAGGACAGACCAAGATGAGTGCAGACACTACCAAATAAAGGAAAGACCTTGTTACAGCAGCAAATCACTGCTTTTCAAGCAGGCAATCATAGGAAGACAATGAAGGTGTCAGTAACTGGTAAGAGGAAAAGAGCAAGACAGTCCCCTTCACCCAGAACATCCACACATCCATTGTTCTGTAGACTGCAGCTTTGGTATCAGTAGCTAAGAAGACATCAAAGCTGGAGGGACTACACTAATCAAGCAAATATTGATTCCTAGTACAAATCTGTTGCAGSATTCTAGGTGAAAATTGCTTATCAAGGGGTAGACCTGAAGCAWTGCTGTTGATATCTTGATCTGTCTAATTAGCCAAGCAGATTGCTTTCTAATGGATTTTAGTATTATCCCTAGTAACTCTAAATTTATACCAAAATTKATCTAAAATTACGCATCAGCCCAAAATGAATAGCTGTGACCAATACCTACAGATACTGGATAAGTACACAAAGAAAATGGAACTATTTTGCAACCATGTAGGATATAGTACATAATGTATGTAGGTACACCAAGCCAGTGCGTGGTGCGTACTGTGTCAGGGTGATTGATGAGAGGTACTCACACTGTCACGTACAAGGCCAAAACCAGCAAAAAAACACAAGTGATGAAGGTAATTCTTGACGCTTACCTGGAGTACAGGAAAACAACACAGGAATACTCTGTCAGCTATTAAACTTGCTCCTCTTGTTGAGGATAGCAGACCAGTCAATGTATACGACACAGCAGTACACTATTTTATTCAGTTTTCAAATTGTATTAAGGGGGACAAGTAGTAAGGAAATTATGACACRGAACAAGAAAGGACAAGGAAGCAAATACAGATGTTGATGCCAGTCATCAACACTGCTCATTGACAACGATACTAAATTTTGATGGATCCCCATAAGGATCTCAACTGATTCAYAAGTCTGTTTGTTCTTTCATCCCCTATCAACTCAAGGGCTTGCAAAAACTCCCTCTTTGAAAGARACCTGTCCARTTGTCATTCAAGTGGTACCGACGTCATTGCTGATGACAGTTCTTTGTCAAGTCTCACCTGTTGTTTGTGAGCCTTACAGCGCCTTGCTCCTCTTGCTGCKGCCATGGTGCATTTTCTTGCTAGTTGCTTGCTGATTTGCTTATTAGTAGGAGCTTCATTTTGTGGGCAAAGAGCTGAATAGTACAAAKAAAAATCTGAGTCTTTGGCTCAATACTTTACAGTGCAGGAGTGAATATTCAAGTGGGAGTTGCA